CGTCGGGGCCGGGCGCGCCGCAGCGGCCGGAGCAAGCGGGACGCTCGCCGCCTCCCTTGGGGTGGGCGTGAGGCGGGGGGAGAGCGGCAAGCCCTGCTCCCGCGGGCGTCCCGTGCGTTTCCTTACCACGGGTGGGGGTTACTTAAAGGTTTAGACGTGCTCTCTTCATCGGTCGTGACAAAAACTAGTTAGAATACGGAGAGGCCGTGCTGAACCTGCTTTTCCGAAGGAGCCGCTGGCACGTGAGAATCTCGTCCGGTACCTCCGTAAGCTGTCTCTGCGAGTTATTTTTTTCTCCTTAACGTTGGTGTCAAGCCACGCGTTTACGTTATTTCAGGAGCTTTCTCTGGGTGGAACTTGGTCTTTATGATACAGAAGTTCATTGTACATGACACACCAAACTGCTGTAGCTGAGACCAAGGAGTGAAGCTCCTACTCGGAGTGCAGAACTCTAGCTAATTCTGCAGTTCTTTGGCTGTATGTTAGGTTGGTTCAGTCATCGTCCTACCGTCTCCCACAGAGCAGCATCTGGTTTAAGATCTCTGGCAAGGTTTGCAATACCTTACATAACATGCCCTATGGTTTCTTGAAAAATGCCTTTTCCTCATCTGTAGCAATGCTATCTTTCAGCATAGCATGCCACTGGATCAGTAAAGCTGTTTCCTATGGTAGGAAGCTTATATTCAAGGGAGAATAGACTGTGACAAGAGCTGCACCAGGAGTAAGGATGTGTGCTGAGGATTGTTGCCAGACGCGCTTCTTCAGGCTTCTTGCACTGGCCCTCATACTTGCCAGTTATCATGCTCTGACATATTTGAAAAAGACCTTGTGTAAATCTGTGATGGCTTTCAGTCACAGGGAGGGCAAGGGTTACTTCTGCACTTTTGCATAGTGTATGTTCGGTGAGCGCGGTGCTAAGTCCAACTTAAATCACAGGGAACAGGACAGAAACATAAAGAGCTGAGGATATCTGAGCTATGTTGGTCCTGAAAAGTTAACCTGAGGAAAACATGGGTTGTTTTTTTTACCTGGGTCTGCTCTGCTCCCTATGTTCATGGTCAAGTAGCAGGGTTTTGTTTTGGTTGGGGATTTTTTTTCTTATGTAGTTGAAGACAGTTAACTTCAGGATTTTTTTCTTTGATTCTTTAGCTCTGTCAACTTCCTTGGATATTGGGCTGAGTAACTGGAGCTTCCTATACGTCACTGTCTCCCTGTGAGTACAAAAATGATCTTCCCCCGAAGCCTTCTGGTGGGGTTTAGAAAGTGCTTTGTCAGGGTCAGTTTCTTGAATGGGTGGATGGCTCGGTGGGGTTGGCATGCAGGGTCTATGATAGCTTGCTGGTAGCAACATAGAAGTGGGTGATCTGGTTCCTAATAGTACTTTGCTGGTAAGGACTACATGGGAGGCGACTGACAGTGTATTTTGGTCCTTACAGCTACACGATGACCAAATCCTCTGCTATTATCTTCATCCTGCTTTTTTCACTGCTCTTCAAGCTGGAGGAAGTGGTAAGGGTCCCACACAATGCTTTAGGGAAGGGGAAGGTCAGGCCCAGGGAAACAGGCAGTACACATACAAGAAACATAAAAGTAGAGGAAGAATGCAATTATGTGGATGAATCTGAAAGAAAGGAGGTGTCTGTCTCTGTTCAGCTCCAGCAGTTTGTAGTGACTTTGTGTTTGTTCTCATCCAGCGGGTGACATTGCTGCTGGTGGTTCTGCTCATCGCTGGGGGGCTCTTCATGTTCACCTACAAGTCCACACAGTTCAACGCACAGGGGTTTGTGCTGGTGCTGTGTGCCTCTTTCCTTGGGGGTATTCGCTGGACTCTCACGCAGATACTTCTGCAGAAGGCTGAACTGGGTATGTAGGGTGTTAGGAAGTGGGCGGTGGTGCTGGTAATGGGGAGGGGAATAAGGAGGTGGTAGCCTTTGCTGCAGAAACAAAACACTTGTGTAAGGGACAGTGTTTGAAACCTGGGGCAGGGGTTATCTGTTGATCAGTAATGAAGGTGGCTTGGCATCTGCAGCAGCACAGGCATGGGCATTACAAGATGTATGTCTAGGAATGGTACTAATAAAGGCTCTAGGAGCTATGTTATTCTCTGGCTTGTTGCTATCTGGTCTGTTATTGATTCTCCTCTTTCAGGGCTCCAGAACCCCATTGATATCATGTTTCACCTGCAGCCGCTCATGTTCCTGGGGCTCTTCCCACTCTTTGCGGTGTTTGAGGGTGCGTGAGTTAATTAGAGAAAGCAAGGATAGCTTTATAGAGTGGTTGGGGAGATTGCTTAGCAGTTTGTTGTTTGAGATCCTTCACTGAGATAATTGAACAGCTATGAACTTTACAAAGTGGGTAGAGACCTGGAATTATAAGGACCCAGATATACCTTATGCTGGCAGAACATTAAAGAGTGCATAGGGATAGTAGCCTGCCACACTTGTGGAATTAAGGGCTATGAAGAACTGGCTTCACATCCTCCTGATATTGGAATGTGAGCAGCCCACCCCCATCTTGTTGTGAGGAGTCCTGGGAGTTGGGAAAGGTACTCTGCTACTCACTGTCTTGTTCCTAGGCCTGCCTTTGTCCATATCAGAGAAGCTCTTCCGTTTCCATGAAGCAGGAATGCTGTTCTCTCTGGTAGGGAAGCTGTTCTTGGGTGGAATTCTTGCCTTTGGTCTAGGCTTTTCTGAGTTCCTCTTGGTTTCCAGAACATCTAGCCTCACCCTTTCCATTGCTGGCATTTTTAAGGTAAGGCATGGTTCCTGTGCTAATACTAGAAGGCAAGTACCAAGTCATCCCTAATGGGCCTCGTGTTGTGGGAACTTCCTTAGAGCCTTAGAAATCATCTCCTGTTATTTTCATTCTCCTTGCACCGGACCTTGATGCTTTGCCTTGCAGTCTCTGCAGTGAAATCCCTTGGTCCCTGACAGCAAGGGGCAGAGACTAGTGGCCATTCTATAAAAAATACCATTAAGGTCCAAAGTTTGGTGGGATCTGGGATAGACTAAAACATGTGTTCCTCATGAGCAACGGATGGTGCGGGAGGGAGGAGGGGTAAGAAGGACATGCTCTTGCATCAGACCTGGATATGAACAAACCACTGGTTTGAGCTACCTCTTTAACCTAGTTTGGCACATTCTTCCCTCCTTTGAGGAATCCAGCACATGTACTTTTGAGCTGAATGGTGACACATGAAATTTGTCTGATCCAGAAGTCACAGGATTCCCATGTAACCAAGCTATGCAGTCAGAGGACTTAAAATCCCACATCCCAGTTTAACAGCTCGTTCTGTTTCTAGATACTGTTTTTAGAACTCTCTGCGCATGGAAGAATGCATGGAAATTAGCAGCATGACATCTTGATCTAGGCTTGAGCTGTAAAACCTCTCATGCATATCTCCTCGGGTCCTGCCCTGCCACTTGTCCTGTTTTTTGTTTCCACAGGAAATCTGCATTTTGTTCCTCGCCACACGTTTGCTGGGAGACCGCCTCAGTCTCTTGAACTGGCTGGGCTTTGCCGTCTGTCTGTCAGGAATCTCCCTTCATGTCATTCTTAAAGCTGTGAACTCCAAAGGTGATTCTGGTTTAAATCCCTTTCTGTTTCTCTGTAGGCATTCTCGTAGCTTCACTAGGAGCTGTGTCTAGTTCCAGCTCCTTGCCAACACCAGGTTTGATGGGTACTTTAGTGAGTTCGTCACTAAATGGGCTGTCTGCATGCAGGTGAAAAAGCACTGAAGCTGCACAAAGAGGCCAGCTCTGACCCTGACCTGGAGCTGCTGCTGCGCCACACTGAACGTGGTGAGGAGGAGGAAGAGGATGTTGAAACCCCACAGCAACACTGACGGAATATCAAGCACAAAGCCCCCTGCTCTGTTCTTACCAAACCTGCCTGACAGCTACCTAGGAGGAAGGTCCAAGAGTCTGTGTGACCACCTAAAGGAGAGCCAGGGCCTGGTGAGAGAGTCCTGCTGTGCTACTACAGTGTGGATCTGTAGATGCTGCACAAGAGACAGGCAATATCTCTTTCACAGAGAGCAAACTTGGAAGACGAGCCCTGGTTCAGTGGAAGTAGAACGGTGTGGTGAGACTGGGAAATGCTATAGAAAGCTTATTATGGAATCCTGAAGGCTGTACATTGAGAGTGTAGACCACAAGCAGTAGAATGATCATTGACGTGTCTGGACTGCAGGCTGAGTGGTTCAGGGATGATTTTAGTGTTGTTTAGGCTTTGGCTTCAAAAGAGAAGGTAGATATACTTTCCCATACTTTATGGTTCTACTAAGTAGGGACTCCCATCTTGGTGGGAGCAGGTGACTGTATGTAAATCCATAGACTTGTCCCCCAGTGAGAAGGAGCCTTTGTGCTTGGTGACCTCCATGTTTTGTATGCATAGTAAGGAGAGAATTACATGCTGGTATTTGGGACCAATTGAATATAGCTAAATGATGTTGGTTGGAGGAAGAACGGGGGTGCATGAGTACTTCTGGCCCTACAGGCCAA